AAACGGCACTAATTTGACTTAAATCGGACAACTGTTCACGAAGTTATCATCTTTTGAAAAATCAAACCGAACGAACTTTTTACTTGACCAATATTAAATTGCTCCAATTACGGTTGATGTTTTCTTGTGTCCAGTGCAACCTTTTTTCAATGTAGCATGTTTTTGAAAGTAGGTGTTTGATTACAGTACTGCTGTGTTTGATGGCAGATATCTGAAGTCTTGCGCGTATTGTATTCAGAGACATATCTATTCTCTTTTCTAACAAAATTTTTTTTAGCTTATCTTAGACTGAGCAATGGTTTCTTCGTCTCAAAAAGGAGAACAATAGCTTTGTCCTTATTTGTAGTTGTCACATTAATCCTTCCTTCTTCCTGGCTTGTCATCTACGTCTTTCACCATAATGGTCAGACCACCTCTTCGCAAATATACAACTCGTATTTGAAAATTTTGCAGTGTTTTTAATAGTCCATTTGGGATCTTATAGATTCTTCGCTTCGAAAGTCTGCCTCAAAACAATTTTTGTACTAAGCAATTATTTTACTTATTTCACGCCGCGTCGTGAAGCATTGAAAAAAAATCGAAAGAAAAACTCACCGAATTGTACGCGTTAACGATCGCAATTGAACATGTGTTAATATGCAAAAAAAAAACAAAATTTAAAAAAAGTTTTCGTAGCATATATAAAATTTAGCCTCTCTGATGGAATCAGGAGTGCAAACCACTACAAAAAACGAAACGGTTCTGTTGAGTGGTTCGAAACACTAAGAAAATACTTGTACCGGTTCAAGGACCGGTTTATGAGTATATCTGAACAGCGTATGTTATGTGTGTACGAATGGAATTTCTTTTTCGAAATTTTACCAACGATTTTCTATGAAACGTCGGCGTGCTTTTTTTGCATGTGTCTCGCCAAATTTACTTTATTTTCCCCTTTCATTTTAAAAATTCAAATTACGGTGAAAAATTACATCTCATAGCGTTGCATTCAAGCAAATTTGTGGCAGTTTATTATTATGTATTGTATTATTTAACTTAAAAATGCTTGTTGGGGATATTCACTTTGAACCGGACCGAACCATTTTTTTTTGAGTCGTTTCCGGCTCGGTTTTGGCATTTTTAAATAAAAGCGGTTTGGTTCGGTTCAAAACCGGTTTACAGCCCTGGATTGATTGTCAATATTGAACGCGGTATTCGTGACATACGACTTGATTTAGTGAAAAAATTACTAGAAAATTAGGTTCATCGAATTCGTTCCTGCAAATAAAGACGTGGAGGCAATTTGAATATTCATAACTTAATCAATTGTTCACATTAAATAAAAAAAAGATTTGAACCCTATACAGATGTAGGTTATAAGCTATGTAGATGTAGGTTATAACCTATAACGAAAACGGAGAAACTATTTTTACTTATGACTCAGTCTCTGGAAAAATATTGATTTGATCCAATACCCTGCTGAGTGTTATAAAGTGTTAAAATTAGTTTTATAAAGCGTAGTATTTAGCTGTCCTTTATCTTTTCAACCCCAACGTTGCCTGAGAGCATATTCAGTTGTTCAACGTCGAGTGGTAAACGTTCTTTTTTTATCTGCACTATATATAAAAGAAAGTTGTGTTAGTTACACTATTTATAACTCATTGGTGGGGAGGTAGCTTAGAACCAGGGGACAGGCATAGGATACTTTTATTTCTTTACGTTAAAAGTCAATACAATTCATAAATACAAAAATTATATATACAATCATAAGCATGTGTTCAAAATTCATGTAAGAATTATATAAATATTTTATTACTTAAAAAAAAAAAAAAATAATAATAATAACACATAGCTACTATAAGAGCACAGTAATTTTTGTATACATATACGAGTATGGATTATACTGATTGTTGCTACTGCACAAGGCGGTTTTTTGTTAGGACGCAGCATGTGAAACCGGTAAGGCATTTTTAATGTCACAACAGAAAGTCATGTTGACATTTGGGTCGCCAAGGCATTGTGGCTACTTTGTTAGAAAATGGGGGAAACACGATATGCGAACAATTGCAAACTGATCCACCCTCAGAAATAATTCAATTGCTAAATTTTGGGAATGTTAGAATAGAACCGCAACGAAATACATTGCTGCACTCCTTTTCACCAAAAAAAAAGATTGAGAGTATATTCCTGAAAATAAAAATTATCTGTTGGATCATAGCTGGCTTAGTAATCAGGCTAAATTGCGGCCAAAAACGTAGATGTTGACGAAATTAACTTCCAGATACAAAAGTTGTTGCCGGGTTGAAAATATTTATAATCCATAACTATAAGTATTATTGTTAAAAATCCTCTGCCTATTATCATTATATCAAATGTTATAAACTAACAACTTTGAAAATTACTCATTTGTTACAAACTTGAATATAAAATTAATAAAATAAAAAATTCAACATCTTATGATTATTTGTATATACATTATTTATCTTAAGAACTTCCTCTATCCGCCCATACCCATTTTATCCCCGAATTCGGGTGATGCTATATTAAAGCTCAGCCCCAAAATGTTATTTTGTGCCTTTATTTTTGATGACTATTACACAACTGCGACCTATACTTTCCACGAGATTTTGACACTATGCTTTAGGAATAACGTACCAAGCTTTTTTAACGGTAGACCAGGGCAGGGCAATCCAAAATATCGATCTTCTTCGCAGAACAAACATTTTTTACTTGCTTCGAGGTGTGTTTTTTTTGCATAAATGTCCATTTGATTCTCATGGAATCGAAAAGATATGGTTCTACATTGATTTTTTTTTAAATATGCAAATATGGATGCAGTTTTATTAAAAATGCCCAAAAGGAGTCAGAATACGTTAAAGCAGGACTATCTATTTACAAAACTAATTTTTTTCATCCGATTGATTTTAGGTGAATTTTCAAGGACTTATGATTGTCACCGCAAGGACCTTTTTTTGGAACTGGGTCAACACAGACAGCTATAACTTTGGAAATTAATTTCTTTTTTTTTGAAATTTTTCGTGGCTTCAAATCAATACATTGTATAATAATACCATATTACTACTTTTGTAAAATAACATGACTTAAAAGCAAAAAAAAAAAAATTGACTGAAAATTCTAATTTTTTCGTGCTTCTGACTACCCTCTGAATCCCTAAACAAACTTGCATTTTATTACATATATTTCAACAACACAGCAAATGATGTTCGTCAATAAAAATATACGCGAGTACTACTTCTGAAAAGTAATCTGAACCATTTATGTGTCCATTCAAAATTGACTACGCATGTTGTTGTTGTAGCGGTTAACTAATCCCCGTTTGGGTTGTAAGTTCGGGTTGGTTATCATCGAAATATTCTAACGGTAGGCCCAGGAAACGTACTGTTTCGACGGGGTCGGACCATAGGGAGAAGGGTGTTAGATGAGTGGGGTTTGTTGGGCATGCAAAGAGGTGGTTAGTGTCATGCGGAGACTCATTGCACGCAGGACATGTGTTTGGTATGTCGGGGTCTATTCTGGATAAGTAGGAGTTTAACCTGCTACAGTATCCAGAACGAAGTTGCGCGAGGGTCACTCTGGTTTCGCGAGGCAACTCGAGCTCTACGTCTGCTATGGGTGGTGGTTTGACTCGTAATACGCCATTCACTGAAAGGAAGTCGGTGAAGGTGTTGATGGCTTCACTGTGAATGGCAATCAGTGCCTGTCTGAAGTTCGTTGCGTGGGAAGACCGGTCGGCGTACTGTCTAGTGTCGTCGACGTAATCAAGGAAAGACCCTTCGTCTGTGTGTAGAACCAGCCGGCCGATTGCCTTGTATGTCTCCAGAAACGTTTCTTTGTCTTTTCCCCAAGAACGGCCGGCTAGCGATTTGAGGATTTTGTTGCGGCTCTGTACTTTGGCAGTTATCGCAATCGTGTGAGGAGAGAAGGAGCAAAGACTGTCTAGTGTAATGCTTAAAAATTTAGGGTTGTTTACCGTCGACTGAAATGCTTAGATCCAGTCTGTACTCCTTCGTCCAGTTTGTAAAAAATGGTCGCTCTGGATTTAGTGGGGGAGAGCGTTAGGTTCCTTGCAGAGAAGAAGCGAGAAAGATCGGAGAGGTAGCTGTTTACTTTTGAACACATGCCATCGATTCCATTGCCCGACGTCAAAATCGTAGTCATCAGCGTACGAGGTTACTGAAATTCCCGCTGGTGGCTTGGGGAGTTTCGAAATATAGAAATTAAATAGTAGTGGGGAGAGGACACCGCCCTGCGGAAACCCCTGTTTAATTTTCCTAAGTTCGGAGGTAGGGTTAGATCGCCGAAATAACTCAGGCAAGTTTGTTAGAGTCGATTTCCCTTTACGAAATCCATGCTGTGATGAGGAAATTAACGAAGAAATTGAAAAGGTTATATGGTCAGTGATGATAGCATCAAAAATTTTAGGTATAACTGATAGTTTTGCGATACCTCTATAGTTTTCAATGTTGGATCTAAACCCACTTTTGTGAAAAGGAATTATAAATGACTGTTTCCATATTAAAGGAAATATACCGTGTTTAAGAGAGGAATTAAATATCCTTGTCAAAGGCAAATAAATATGTTTGGCGCTATTATTTAGGAAGCATGAGGGTACCATGTGTGGGCCGTAACTACAAGATGGTTTTAACTTATTTAATTTAAGCAGGACGTCTTTTTCAGAAATAATTGGATCATTAATTAAAGTAGTCGAACACAGATAATTCATTATAAATCGAAAAAAAAACGTCATTTAAACAGTTGAGATTTTAAACTTAAAACGTAAATATCTCCAAAACTATAAGTTTCCCGCGGCTATTCTTGATCTGGCGGATCTCCTCTATCCGCACATACCCATTTTATCACCGAAAGCGTGGGATGGTATACTAAAGCCGACCCAATAAGTGTGTAAATTTTCTTAATCGGGGGATGCTATTCTAAATTCCAGTCTACTGGTTTATGCAACGGATAAAATATTATTTTCACTATTTCGTAAAAAAAATCCTTACCTACCGGTCCAGCTTGAACAAAAAGTTCCCAAAGTAATGTCTCCGAAACTTTATCATCAAGACCACCAACATAAATTGTAGCATCTGTAGTTGTTACGTATTTATATTAAATATTTTAAATAAGATCGAATAGTTAAATACCTTGATTTCTTTCTGCAATAGGTCCAGCAGCCATTTTCGAGGAGTAGAACGAACTTATTTACAATTCAAGTGAGCCTTACGGGGCATCTCGACAAGCAATTTAAAATTGTTAAAAATTTGTATTGCTAGCAATATTGCCGATGAAGGCAACACATTGCACACATATCTCATGCCACTAGATGCTAGCATTGAACTACCATACTGATGGTTTCACAAAGCTGTTCTCATTTCAACACCAATTTTTAATACCCAATTGAAATCTTCTTGAAAACACAATTTGTGGATTCTGCAACCAAAGTCGTTCTGACCAACATTGTGTGTTTTCGATGAGATGATATTGATGATATATCAAGATAACAAATGCCCACAGAAGTACATTGCCAACCTCAATAGCAATCAATTTGAAAGATGGTTATCAATCCACAAGTAATCAATCCTAAAGCGGCCTTTACACGGTCATTCATGTATGCAAGCATGTGTGGCGTGATGAGAAGAATGAGCGTGTAAACATAATAAATTCGTGTTCGTCATACATGTGCGATGGTTTTTAAAAGTTTTTAAAAACATGATGTTGTTATGAACATATTTTATGGTGTAAACGCTTGCTGACCACGCAGTATATTTTTCAGTCGTAAGCAAACATTAAAGCGTAATGACGTCAAGGATGATGATGCGAGACTCTTTGAATCGAGAGAGAGCTGTCAAAACCCACATATTTTATAACATTTGCCAATAATGCCACTGTCGAACGAAAATGGATTGGGTATTATAAAAAAAACTTGTGGGTATTTTGCATATCGATATTATTTTTTGGTGCTCCGTCACCGAGTAGGCCTATATAACATAAAAAAATAGCATATAAATAAAAAAAATTATAACAAAGAAACAATACAAGTCATAATAAAAGATCATGGTTTGAACGTTTATGAACGTTTTAAAATAAATTAACAAATAAAATTTAGTTGCTCGTTAATCAAAAGTATTTGTGTCGTTCCTTGAAATTTCGTTTCGCACTGCTTTTGTTAGCTATTTTTAGCGGGTTTATTTCTGGCATCCCGCCTTTTTTGACATCAGCTGTTCGAAGTTCCCTGATTTTAATAATCAGGGAAAGAGAATAACAAAAAAATCAGCGAAAATGAGAGAGTCTCGCTTCATATCATCCTTGATGTTGCTTCGTTCACAAAAATGGCCAAGTTGGTACGGGTTGCCTCAAAAATGATACTACTAAGGTCACACTTGGTACGGTAGCTTACTTATTTTCTTCTACTAAAGTCACAACCAGAGGATGTAGATTATACATAGAGAATTTAGATTATAGAGAAGGTTCACACTGCAGCCAATATCAAAATATTTCACTTTTCGCAGAGGAACTGAAAACGATGAGCGTGTTTCACCATAGAAAATTATTGGCCACAATTAACATGAGGGGACTGAAAAATAGCAGAATTGAGCATTTTAAATGTTAATTGAGAAAAGTAATGCTAATTTCAATGTTAAGAAATGTACGCTTACAGATTCGTATATTTATAATGAGCAACCGACTTTGCACATAATTTGAAGATATTCTGCCTATACAGGGTGGATAACGAGTCGTGCTGCGAAATTAAATCGCAATAAGTTTCTTTTTAGTCAATGCATTACATTTATTTTTTTTATTGTATAGAAAATTTTATTTTATATAGAAAATTAAGTATTCCTCCGTGCTCAACCACGCATATGCGACAAATAATTCAGGATTGCCTCAATTATCTATTTAATGGACTGCTTCCGTTCAGTCAGATTTCTGGGTTTGATTTTGTATACCTCTTGCTTGACATAACCCGATAAGAAAAGACCAAGCGGTCCCAAATATTCTTATACAAATATATATGTATAATTATGTGTGCATGTAAACAAATATGAAAGTACCCATTATAATTGTTAATTTGTCTATATGCAACGTATGTATGTAAATATGTACACTCACTGTTTCATGCACAAACTCCGTTGCGTTGCGTTGAGTGGAGTGGGCATCCAAAGAGGTGGTTAGCGTCATGCGAAGACTCATTGCACGCAGCACAAGTGTTTGGAATGTCGGGGTCTATTCTGCATAAGTAGGAGTTTAACCTGCTACAATGTCCAGAATGAAGTTGCGCGAGGGTCACTCTGGTTTCGCGAGGCAACTCGAACTCTACGTCTGGTGGTTTGACTCGTAGTACGCCACTCACTGAGAGGGAGTCGGGAAGGTGTTGATGGCTCCACTGTGAATGGCGGTCAATACCTGTCTGCAGTTCATTGCGTCCAAAGTCCGGTCGGCGTACTGTCTAATGTCGTCGAGGTAATCAAGGAAAGACCTCTTGATGTTCCTAGGAGGCGGCTCCACTTCAAGGAGATGACTGAGGGGTGGTTTCTACGAAAACAACCCAGCAGAAACTGCTTGGAGAGAAGCTTGTTATGTTCCTTAACCGGAAGCATACGGGCCTCACTGTATAGGTGTTCGATTGGGGACATCAAGAGGCATCCCGTGATAGTCCAGAGTGCAGTGTTCTGACAAGTCTTAAACTTCTTCTTCTGCGTGTCACTGCATCCAGGCGACCATATTGGGGCTGCATAATTTAGGACCGGCCGGCCGATTGCCTTGTATGTTGCCAGCAACGTTTCTTTGTCTTTTCCATAAGAGCTGCCGGCAAGCGATTTGAGGATTTTGTTGCGGCTCTGTACTTTGGCAGTTATCGCGGTCGTGTGAGGAGTGAAGGAGCAAAGACTGTCTAGTGTAACGCCTAAAATTTTAGGGTTGTTTACCGTCGGAATTTTGGTGCCATCGACTGAAATGTTTAGATCCAGTCTGTACTCCTTCGTCCAGTTTGTAAATATGGTCGCTGTGGATTTAGTGAGGGAGAGTGTCAGACTCCTTGCAGAGAAGAAGCGAGAAAGATCAGAGAGATAGCAGTTTACTGTCGAGCACATGCCATCGATTTCATTGCCCGACGTCAATATCGTGCAGTCATCAGCGTACAAGGTCACGGAAATTCCCTCTGGTGGTTGAGGGAGTTTCGAGATGTAGAAGTTAAACAGTAAAGGGGGGAGGATACCACCCTGCGAAACCCCCTGTTTAATTCTTCTCAGTTTGGAGTTTTGACCCCGAAATAGTTCGGATGAATCCCGGCTACTCAGGTAGTTCATAGTCCACCGCTTCAGCCCTGGAGGGAGCGTAGATTGTTCGATGTCCTCAAATAGCGTTGTGTGGTTGACTGTGTCGAAGGTTTTCAACAAGTCTAACGCTACGAGGATCATCCTCTCGCAGGGTGGTTTCTGGTTTAGGCCATGAACTGGGCATTTATGACGCTAAGTGCTGTGCACTTTTCGGAAGCCATGCTGATGTTCTGTTAGACTCAGGTGGTGAGTGAATGACGGGAGTAACAAGGCATCAAGTGTCTTCACTACTGGGAAAATGAGAGTTTTCGGACGATAAGACTCCCCTTTTTTGGCGGGTTTCCCCGGTTTCAGTAGTGGGACCACTTTTGAGACTTTCCACACATCGGGTATTTGAAGAGTGGCCATCGACAAGATGGAGGGTACCTGGGTAAGGTAGCTTACTCCCGTCGAGCCTAGATGTTTTAGCATCAGCATGCTAAATGCAGGTCACAGGTTATAATATTTATCAGACCACCGCTAGCGATGGTAATATCTGGTGAGCTATTACAGGTGCCCATAATTCTGGTGGGGGCTTCGTCATTCATTGTGCAGAATGTCGAATCGTCAATTTGTTCCGCCAGGTTTTCACCACGAAGTAGCGCATCTATGTTCGGTTGATATTCTGTTGGGCAACATGTAACTGGGGGGATGTATATATTAAATATTTCGAGCTCGACATCGCCTGACCGGACAGCTATACCTTGACATTCAAGGGTAGTGTCCCTGCAGTCGATATCAACATCGATTAGACGATATTGCACGGTGTTGTGCAATATGAAGGCTAGGCCTCCACCATTATCTCGCTCGCGATCCTTACGTAAAACGTTGAAACCTGCACAACTCAGAAGATTTGAGCGGCTGTTTCACTTGGTTTCTTGGAGCGCAGCTATCGTTACGCGCTCCCGTCTCATGAATGCAACTATATCCTCGATCTTGCTCTGGAGTCCGTTGCAGTTGAATTGTAGAAGTCGCGTTCGTCGCGGGTGTCCGGTCGTTGTCAGACTGGGAGTCATGCTATCTGTGTCTCAGGTTGCACAGCCGTTGAGGCAGATGTCGTAGTATTGCGTTGACATCATGGGGCCACGTAATTCGTGGTCCACTCCCTATGTGTCTTAAGGCCTGAACAGGTCTTAAGATGGCTCCATCCATTGCATGTATTGCACCTAACCGAGGTGGAGTTTGGATGGAGCCTTTTAGCGCAAACGCAGCAGTAGAATTCCTCGGGCCCGGGTTGGACTCGATGCCAGCACTGGTCAGGAGGATACGGAGCAACCCCGCTGCTAGGCGTTGCTTCAATGACGACAATTTTAGCCTAGAACTTACCGATCCAAAGAGAGCCCTTGGCCGAATAAAATCCGGGTCAATTCCGGTATCGCAGAACCGGCTGTTATGGGAATTGCTATCTATCGGTCACTATTAATGCTTGCACTTGGTTTACGTCCATGGTGAAATTCGTTTACTTTGTGATTTGGCTATCGTTGTTTTCTATGTCCAACTCAATATCACTGTCGCACTCGGTTTTTATATTGCGTAACGCGTCTAACCAACTCATGTGCTCATGTGTATAAAACAAATTCTTAGCAGCGGCTTAAATTTATTTAGAATGGATTTGTTTTTTATGGAACGATTATTTTAGCTGACACAAAGGATATACTTTTTTGGTTTTTAAATAACTCGATATTTCACAATTACATCTGTTACTGTTATTAGTTTATAACTAATTTAGTGCAAGTAAGTTGGAGATAATCTTAAACCAACTTACATGGTGTGGAAAGTAGAGTAACTCTAACTCTAACTAGGGTGTGAATCCTTGTATGTTGAGCACCAGTTATGCCAGTTATACTTGTATTATTAGTATTCTCCAAGTGAACTGTTGCGTCTGTGCAGAAGTTTTAAGCGGTTTTGTGTTAAATGCGCAATTGTTGACAAAAGGACTTGCATATAAGTTATGGTGTAGTGCACTTCTGTGCTTTTTTGAGTTTGATTAGAGTTAACTGATATTTAAAAATTAACTTAAAACTAAACCTAAAAGTTGAACCCATAAGCCACATACTTCCGCCAGCAAGCCGACTCAGGAACGTAGACATTTCTAGCATAGTCAAATATTAGGTTACCGCAGCTGACCTAGTTAGTCAGGCCACTGAACTCATGCGTCAACGGAATATGTCTCAGCATAAGCGATAACGTAGATATTTGCAGCATAATCAAATATCACTGTTAACTTGTACGCATATATAAGTATGCATTCAAGTTTTTGTATGTATTATTTGTTCGACAAAGTCAAACACATATAGGTGATAATACTTGTATGGTGATTTTAATGCGTGAAAATTTATATACATACATACATATGTGCATGATACATGCGTATATTAGTTTTAAATGATAAAAAGTAGGATTTTTATAAATTACTATTGTACAATAATTATTAAGTTTTTATTGTATTACGATATATGTATAAAAAATTATGCATAATATATTATCAAACATAAGAAATATTTAAAAATAGGTCTTATTTTCACATTGACTTCAAATATTGCTTTGTGATAGTATATTAATTAATTAAAATGTAGTCAACTGTACGTGTATTCATAAATACTCACAAAATGATATTCATATCAATGTATATGATTGCATGTCTAATATACAAAATTGTGGTATCACCGTGTTTGTTGCCAAACTCCACCGAAACGGCTGGACCGCTTTTAACGAAATGTGGTGTACGTATACAGTAG